AATGTAATTTTGATTTTGAGTTTGATCATAGGTGGTGAAATTTGTGGTAGCTATTTTGATTTTTACGGTGAAACTGTAACATCTCGATATTTGAAAGAACTAGAAAGAGTTAAAATTGGAAAGAGTCATTTTAGGAAAGAATGAAAAATCTAAAAGTTATCTTTCCAAATACAGTAGGAAAGATATTGGAATTATCTTTCCAACACCGTTGAGTTTGTATGAGTGAGATAGATATTCCTATTTGAAGTTGGGTTGTTCAAATAAGGAAAGTCTAATCAGGATTTTGAAGGGTAGTTTAGTTTTTTTCTTATCCAATTACTTTTCAATTTCGTTTTTGGTAATTGGTTGAGCATCTAAACAGAACTTGGTTAGTTTACGCTTCTAAAAAAGAATTAGGGTTTTGAGATAAGAGAAAATAAGAGGAGAAAAAGCAATGATTTTATCGATTTCTTGGAGATTTTCATTTGAATTTCGCCAAGAGTTAATTCCTACGAGGTATGTGAGTTCACATTGTATTGAGTTTGTTCACCCACGCGCCAAACATGTTTATTTCAATATGATTTTCGTCTTAAAAGATTGAGATTTTGATGTTTTTGAGTTGTATTCTTGAATTCCTTTCATTCTTGAAATTGAGATGAGATTGAGAAGTTCTTGAGAGCTTAAGGTCGAATTTAGATTTGTGTTTGATTAGATTCGTGTGTACATATGTTAGGTATCTGAATCTAAAGAAAGAGGAATTGAGAAAAAAAAAATTGAATTTAGGCGAAGGGGGCTTAGAAAATGAAGAAGGAACAAGTCGGACAAATCTGAATACTAGGTCCATGTCACGGACATGTCCCTCGGGATTGACAAAATTTTCTCTGCGTCGCGGAGTGGTCAAGAATCGTTCTTCCTCAAAAATTCTGCAACCAAATAATTAAATGCATCTCTGCGTCGCAGACTGGCTTCGAGACAGTAATTTTTTGATTTTTTTTTATCATGTTTAACTATCTAAAATACTCCTAAACATTATGATGTCTAATCTATCACAAATCACAATCCTTGAATCTATAATTCAATTCAAGAAAAGTTAAGAGTCAAGTCAAAAGAAGTTAAAAGCCAAGTCAAGAAAAGTTCATAGAATTTTATAAAAGTCTTTCACAAACGTTTTAACTTTATTTTAAGAGTTAAGCTTTGAGTGAGTAAAGAGTAAGAGTAAATTTTATTTCTTCAAAGATTATACGGAATAAGTATTCCCAAGAGTTAAAATATTTTCAATTTGAGCAAGAAAGGAAACACCAATTAAAAGAGAGCTTTTAAGCTAAGTGTTGACACCCAATTTTGACCGACCTTTAACCATTTTTAGGATTATATTCGACTAAATATGTATTTTAAAATTTACTTAAAGTTTTGAAGTTTTAGTCGATTTTTCTCAAAAATTATATATTTTAGTATCGTTTACTTTATAAAATTATTGTAAATATTATTTCAAATGTTTTAAAATCTAGATGATTTTTAATTATACAAAAAATATTTTAATGTATGTAGTATTTTAATGAAATTATTTAAATTCTAGCCTATTCTATTCTAATTTCTTCCAATTCTAGCCACTCCAATTTTTATTACAATCATAGCCACTCTTTCATTTCAATTCTAGCCACTTTAATTGCAATTTTAGCCATTCTATATCTTTGTCAATCTAATTTCAAAACATCATCTTTTAATTCCATCCGTCCATCTTAAAAAAATAAATCCTATATCAAATCCTAACACTTCATCTCTATTTAATCTAACGGTTAGGATTAACTCTCTAATTCTCTCAACATCAAATGACCAAAACCTAAACTATTTCACTCTCCCCCCTCTTTTCAGCCGCCTCTCCTCTCTCTCTCCCTCTCCATCAGCCGCCTCCCATCTCCTCTATCTCCATTATTTCTGGCGGAATCGCCACCCACCAGAGGCGGCAACCCCTCTCTCTTTTCCTCTCATTGTTCTCTCTTTCCTCTCTCCTCGCAACAGCAGCCGGCGCACAACTCCAGCAGCTGCGCGAGACCAACCAGCGCCACCAGCAGCTGGACAACATCGAGGGAGGCTGTTCCAACTAACGCCTCCCTCCTCCCTTCTTCTCCAGCGCCTCCCGCCAGCATCACAGCAGTGACCGGCGAGCAGTCACTAGCAACTGCTCCAGCCAGTAGCAGCGATGCCGGCGTGGACGAGCAGCAAGGATGGCTAAGCAGCAGCGGAGAGCAGCTCCGACAAACAGCAACTCCAAGCGAACTCCTCTTCTCGCTGGCAACATAAGAAGCTGGACAGAAGCAGCTCGACGGAACAGTGCAGTAGCAGCGTCCAGATGCACGATAGCAGCAGCTCCGCACAGCGATCAAGGCAACATTCCGGCGGAATTCAAAATTCTGTTAAAGACGGATCTGTACAGATCCGTCCAGGTCAGTGTCGTTTCAATTCAAACCTCATTCAAATAAATTTTCCTAGCTTTGACTGAATTACATGCTCGTACTATGCAAGAATAATTTCATGCTACTATCTCGTCGTATGTTTTTGTGAGGCAATCACTGTGATCTTTCTGGATTTCTTTAAATTAGATATCTCGGTCTTGTTAAATTTCCCTCTAATATCTCTTTTTAGCTTGTGAACCGCTATGTTAATCTGCTCATGTTCTAAATTATTAAGGGATATGATAATTGATGATTCCTAAATGTTTGTGTTATATGATTTAAGCCTTTAATTAGTGATAAGATGAATGCCTTTTATTTTATTTATTCTATTGCACGCTAAGATGATGTCTAAATCCTCTTATGTTTATAATGAGTTAAACCAATTGATCTTTCAATATACATCTATGTGCCTTTGCCTTTAGCATGCTTATTCTACGTGAAAAGTATGGCTTCTCCGGATGTTTTTATAATTATGCATTATTGGTAGCTTTATAAATTGCGTAATCCGTTCATGATTGTGTCTCCGTTTTAATATTCGGGTGTGTTGGTTAAATTTAAAAGAATGTGTTGCATGGATTGAAGATTAGAGTTAACACCCTCACGCCTCTAGTATTATTTAGAGTTGTCAATCCTTTAAGAGTAATGCTGACTCTTTTCTTTTTAAGTTAAATCTATTAATTATGGTATATTGACATGTTTTTGTTTCCTTTTAATTATTTGAGCATGTTGAATGGATTGCTTAGTTTGAATAATAAGGTAATTTAATTTGCTTGTGATATAACTTTATGAAAAATTGGGATTGTTGTTACCTCTCCTAAATTAGTTTATTAGAAAGATGCATAGAATCTCTCTTTGTGATATTTAAGGAAAATGAATTAATTCTTTTTAGTGAATATCTTTTTGCTATTGGTAAATGATGTTGCTATGATAAGTGAATATTTGGTACTTAATTGGAAGCAATATTGCCTTGTGTATTATTCATTATTTTGCCATAAATTATTCCGATTTGTCTTATTATTTGTGGAATGATTTTATTTTGATTATATTTGGTAATGTTTGATTGATTTATTTCTCTTATTAAAGAGATAATTCCTCCATAATTGCTCAAAAATGATTCTTTTCCTTTAAAATCATGACCTCTCCACTATTATAAAATAAGACATTTATTTCATTCCTTTCTCATGGTTGAACATTCTTCAACTCACACAATCATTCACTCTCAATCACAGGTTTTTTCATCACTTCCTTCTCTCATTACTCTCTTGCTACTCTAAATACATTAAGATTTTGATAAACATTCAAGTGTTCTTCTTTGCTACCTTGCTTTTTGCTTTTGTTCGAGTAAAGGTTGGATCAACTTGCTTTTCGTTGCTATCATTCCTAATCTGCTCAATCATTATTTGACTGCTTTAACAGGTTTTAAACTTGAAGTTCAAGTTGAAGATCAACCATGAAAAAAGATTTATTTGTTTATTTGAATCTATATATTTTTATTTTTTTTCTTTCTTATTTTATTTATTCGAATGTTGTAACATTTGTAACTCTAAAGATCATATATAAATTTATTTGGGGATCGTCTAGGGGAGGGGGATTTACATGCTTACTTGTTCATTTTTTTTTTAAAAAAAATAATTAGAAATCATGCCTATAGATTTATCTTTAACCACCTAGATTTATTGTTTGTAGGTGTTATATCAATTTTCAATTTGCTTGACGCTTTGTTAATAAGTCTTAAAGAAATAATAACTAGATTCCATTAATTTTTGAATGTTAAAATCAAATCATAATAATTTAATAGGCTGGTTAGGTGTTATAACTTTTAGTATTGTCTTGTCATGTAGAAACCATGCCTAAAGATTATTTTGTTCATATCATTTAGATTTACAAAATCATGCATATATGTGTTACTCCTTTCTTGAACACCTAGAAATCATGTCTATAGGCTTGTAAATAACTTTTAACATATCCATAAAAAATAAAATTTGTTTGTGCGTATTTGTGCCCTCCCCTTAAAATTAGTTAATATTATTTAATTAGTAATCCTATTTGTCTTCTTGAAGATTTCCGCATTCATGATGCAATATGTTTTTTTAATAATGACACTAAATTAGAATCATTTCATGCATTTAACAAATTACTTGGCTTTTAAATATATTTCCTATCAAAACCTTGCAACATAATTTTCTTAACAAAGTCATTATTCAATCTTCCTTTAAAATTTTGGATTGATTATGACATTTTTTATTTTTGAAATAAATTTAAGCACTATCTCCTAACCTATCGTTAGTGGGAAAGTCAAAGGAACTATGAGGTTTAGTTTCAATTTTTAAATTAAACCGATGCATCCTCAGAAATACCACCTACCCATGAATTTCAAAAGGAATTATGTGTATTTATGTGTAAATATTTATGTGCCTACATGTAAACTAAATCTTTTAAATCATTTTCAAAAACATAAATTATTTTTTAGACCGACCTCAAATCAAAATTGTTTCTATGGTGGAGGAGCGCGATCAACAATATCGTGGCATCATCCCTATAAAGAAACAAACTTTTTTTTAAAATAAAAAATTCATATTCAAAGTTGCTCAATTTCAAAACTTTACTTTCGTACATATTAATAGCTTAATTTTTGGCAATTTTGTTTATAACATAGTCTTACATGCTTAAATAAAAATAAAATTTGATTGTTTATTTATTGCTATCACCTAGCCTTGCATGTTCAAATTAATAGTATTAATTGTTTTGTATTTGTTATCACTTAGCAAGATTAAATAAATTAATAAAGAAGTGACTTTGATTGTTAATCGTAACACCCACATAGATTGCATGAGATACGGTCGGGACCCACACTTGTGGACCTCGAGAGATGCCTAACACCTTCCCCTCGAGGTAATTTGAACCCTTACCCTAATCTCTGGCTCGTTGACCTTAGTTAGACTTAGTTAGGTTAGATAGGTGCCCTAACGCGCCTTAATTCGTTAGGTGGTGACTCCAAACTCGAAAATCCCAAAGGAGTTGTTAGGTCGTGCACAAAACCCGTTTTCTGCGAAAATGGGGCGCGACATTTGAGCAATTATCTCAAACCAAAAAAAGAGTTTTGTTTTAAAAACATATGAGTTGAGTATATTTTGGGAGTAGTATATATTGAGCACCGATGTGGGAACGCGAGTTCATAATAACTTAAATATTCATATATCATGTAGTCATCATGGGTAGAAAATGATCATACTTTTTAGATGATTCCTTAGTTCTTTTTAGCATAGACTAGTGGATTCACTTAGTTAAGACGTTCTATATGATGACAAAGTATAGGACAATTCTGGCAATATGGACAAGACAATGTATCATCACTTAGGCTCATAGTGGTGGTTGTCGGTTAGAGAAACTACCACAGTATTATATTACTTATATATAAAGTGAGTTGTTATTGCATTTCTTTAACAAATTGAGTTGCTACCTCATGTTTTAAATGCTTTGTATAACTGCATCATTATTGTTGTTTTACTTTGCATTTGAGTTGAATTATTCGTGAGTTGAGTAAAGCCAAGGTAAGTGATCATAAAACAAGCTTATGTATGTCTTGTTTAGTATTCTCCTCGCGCACTCATATATTCAATGCACTGATGTCATTTGGCCTGCATCATTTTATGATGCAGACACATGTAACCAAGATCAGACTCCAGCACATCTAGTTGATCCAGCTGAGCACACAGAGTTAGTTGGTGAGCCTCCTAACTTTTCAAAGGATCCCTTTGATCATGTTTTGCCTTATTATTTTGGTTCATTTAAGTTGTTAGGATGATCAGAGGTCTTGTCTCGACATCCCTCTTTGTTTTAGAGGCTTCATAGACAGTTAGTAACTTAGACATTGTTATTTGTTATGTTAAGACTTGAGTTGCCACTTTTGCCAAGCTGAATATTTTGACCTTTAAACGTTCTAAGTTATTTATTAAATAGTTGAATAGAGATGCATTGAATCCTTGTATTTATGTTTCAAGTCTTTCGCTAAGTAAGAACCAAACCAACTCTTTCAGTATTCAATAGGTCGTCGTGATAGTCAAACGTGTGAATGATTTTTCGAAATAAGTTGAGAAGTACATTTATGTCTTTTCCATAAAATGAATGGATAGACTATTAATTGGAATTAAAGAGTAAATCATTGGTTAGAAGATGAATAGAGAAACTTCACATAATTGGAATTAATGTTACATTAATCTGCCTCTAAAATTCTTGATCATAACATCTGATAAAATCAAATTTCTAGCTATTCATCAATTACTGCACATGCCAGATTTATAGTCTTCATAGCTCTAACACCACAACTGTTTGAACAAGAAAACATGAAGCTTTCAGATTGATCATATACTAAAATCACAAAAAAAAAAAAAGAAAAAAAAAGAGAGAGATCTAATTATAAGGGTTAAGGAGTCTTACATTCAGAATCAGTGGTAATCCAGTTCAATTTAGGGCAGTGATCTATGTGAATTGGAGTTGAGTTTACAGAAGCAAAGTTAATTTGAATTGATTGTTCATGATTCTTTGTTGTTGATGAATTAGGCATTGACATAGCTGAGTAAGTTGTGGAGCAACTTTCAGCATCCCATCTAAAGCTAATTTTGGGGGAATCATTACTTAGTTGATCATCATCTGCAACTGCTTTCAATGTTGCTCTGTTCCTAAAGTTGAATACCTGCAATTACACACCATGTAAATCACCACTAATTTCTAATAAATATTTGGATCTCAATTGCAGTGACGGAGTCAGAATTATTTTTTTAATAAAAAGTGTCAAAATATAAAGAAGTAAATTCAAATAGAAGCCAAGGACAGTCATTATGTAATATAGAAAAGTATTGAGAAAGCCCAAAGTTGGTTGCGAATTTATCATTTTCATTGACAATCTTAAAAAACATCTTTACTTGACTAACTGAATTTAACTCCTAATTCTTGCTAAATTTAGGAGTGTTTTCAACACTTCTCTCTGTATGCTCCTACTAGAATTTGAAATTACTTGCTATGTCATATGACAAATCACAAGTATATCTAAGTTTAGTACTTAATCAAGTAGATAATTATTTTTAAGATCTAGTTCGAGAATGAAACTAATAGTCTACGTCAGATTCAATGATGTTTCAATACTTCTCTCTTATATATAAAAATGTTTTGCCTAGCTACACTATAATTTTCCGATGAACGGTTCAGTTAATACCCTTCGAAGTACATGCGGATCATGACTATAGTAAACAGATATCAACTGATTTCTCCAATAACTCAATTAACAGTTGTTATTATCTCAAAAAATCAACTTTCTTTTTTGACTATTGGTTGAATAAGAAAAATGAACTCTATAAATATCTATATAGTTGTTGAAAGATTAAAAAAAAAGAAAGAAGTAGAAATGTTCACCTTTCTAGTTATGTATCTAGTTCCCTTATCAGTTTTAGCAGCAGCAGCCCATCTTAGTAGCTCTTTCATTTTAGAGATGCTCATCTTAGCTTTATCTCCCTTAACTTTTTCCTTCTTTTCTCCACCATCTTTATGATCATTCGTCGAATCATGCGTAATAGGCAAAATTTGTGTAATATTTCCTACATGATTTCCAGTTACTGTTGAATCTGCTTTGTTAGTAACTCTAAGGTTCTCTTTTTTCATCTTCATACAATATTCAAATTGTTGGCTCCTATGACAACTTCCTACTCCCCTTAATCGAATTGTACTGTAAAAATACTCTTTTCCAATATCCTTCCTGCACAATATACTGTTGAATAACTCGAAATTCTTGCTTTTCCCACGACAGATCCCAAACAACACAATCTCTTTCGATTTTGCCTTCTTATCTGAAAAATAAAAACGGAGTTAATAAACAAAAGAACAGAGTTCAACTTCTATCAGATCACTATTTATAAGACTTACTATTGACAGTTTGTTTGTTGCTTATAGAAGTAGTAGTCTCATTTGTAGTCTTGAAGAGCTTTTGAATTAGTGTCTGACATAATATATTTGAACAAAGTTAGTATATATTTTTTATGTATATATAACAGGATATGAAGTTGTAAAATTGGATATTTTGATGAGAAAAATAATAAGAAAGCTAGGTCACCTGCATGTTATGATGGAATATATTTTAGTTACTTTACTATAAAGTAAGTGTGCTTGAGACAAGATTTGTAGTCAAATGGACAACGCAGAAGAAATCTATCTGTGCTGTCTCTAATGTACCAAAGATTCCTGTTTTTGGTTATAATATAAAGTTTTAATAGAATATGATGACAAAAATGTGGTAATAAGACACGAGCAGAATCTGAGACAACCAGGAAATGAAATGAGGGATAGTTGGCTTGTTAATATTATAGGAGCAATAAGAGACTTTATATTTATAATATATAATTAAGTGGATTGCTCATGTGGTTGTTACTAATAAGTAGATCTTCAAAAAGTGATTAAGAGGTACTAATTAGAGGTTGTGGCAACTATTTTCACCATACACATGTAGGGTTACTATTGCTTCCTTGAAATGGCCTTCAATATATGGGGCCTCCTTGGGTTAAATCCACTATTTTTAAAAAAAATAAAAATAAAAATAAGAATGGAACTTTTATTACTAAAGTGAAAGTTAAAGAATATTATGTAAACGTGATTTATGTGCAGGATTTAGAAATATATACGGTTTACTGTAGAATTGTACCAAGTAGTTTCATAGGAAAGATACATACTATATACCATTTCTATGAAACTACTTGGTCTACTTCCGTTTAGACTAATCTGACTCTAGGTAAGAAGATAAAATTTTATGAGATATAATATAAGTCGTAGAAATAAAAGTAGAATTAAGACTAACAACTCAAAATTAGCATTAAAAGTAGATTTCTCTTCAACAATGTTTTGTTTCACGGTGAGAAGAAATTGTATTAGTTTCGGAGAACTAAATTTTCAGGTCACAAGACATAGGTCTGATAATCACAAACGAGTTTAGAGACTGTTTGAATTGGCTAAAAAGTTTAAGTCATTTTTAACTTTTAAGAGTGTTTGACAAAGTTATAATTAAAAGTAGATACTCTCGTTCTTTTTAATTTATTTTAACTTAAAAATTACTTAAGTTTAAATTTTTAAAAACTACATTTTATTTTAATTTTTTAAAGTTAAGCCAATGTCGTCCGTTTACTTTTATTTGTTATATAGTGCTTTTCGAAAGTTAATTTGACTAATTTTTAAAGTCAAACTAGATTACATTAATTTGATATTTTTAAATAAAAGAATTAGATATTCAAAAACTATATAAAAAGTATAATAAATTGTAATTTTTTATATATTAATATGATAAAAATATATATTTTAAAATATCAATTAAAATTTTTGTAATTTAACTTATAGTAACTAAGATAACTAAAAATGAACGGAGAGTTACTGTACCAAGCTCATAGTGGAAAGCTTTGAAGCATGGGACGTGTCAAAAGTGTGGAGGCCAGGTCCAATTATTGGGCAAAAAAAGTGTTCTTTTGTTCAGATTAATTGCAAGTAAATCAAGATGGAGATTTGGAAGTTGCGATACAAATCTGATAAATCTTGGTAAGTAGTTGAGAGAGTGTAAACCAATCTTCAAAAAGATTTGGCAGCTTTTTACACATTCTTTTTTAAAATTTATTTAAGTTTACTTGGTTAAAATATTTTAAATTTATCTTCAGGAAAACTTCTTCAAAATATATGAAAAAAATGACTTTTTTGATAAAATTAAAAAATAATAAGTTTTATAAGTAATATTTTAAGTTTATTATCTCTTTCTCACTTATCCGATGTCATTGAATGTTATCTATGGACCATTCCACCCACAAACCGCCACTCCAATCCCATAATATTTTGGTAGAGTATATTTTGCTTACATACTTTTCACTAATAAATAAATAATTTATAGTGATTAATTCCTCATAATATTTTATAAGATTTCATCCATTTCAGACAACTCTTTTTTTTTTTAAAGTGACTTGGAGTTGGAGGATATAAAATTAAATTTGTTATATATGGTTAGATATAGACTAATAGGAGCTTGTTGGAAAAATCTCTTCCATATTTTCTTAATGATATTTGGAGGAAAAGTGAATTTCTATAAATTGAACATGCTTCGTAAAAGAATTTTGTTTAGGGCGGAGATTTTCCTCCTTAATTGTTCTTTTATATTAGTTTTCTCATATAAATCAAATGGTCAAACAATATTAAAATATTACAATTTTTTAGTATACTTTTCTTTGTTGTTTAATTTGTCATCATAGACAGTGGCGAAACTAGAATTTAATCTAAGAGGTATTAAAATATAAAAAATTAAAATTATGTAGAAGCCAAAAAGTGTCAACATATAATATAGATATACATAAAAAAATATTTTTAATTCTAACAATACAACATAATTTTGGATGAAGGAATGTCGATCGACACTATAACTAGCTTTTGGACAACACCATGATTATTTCAGTCCTAACATTAATGAAGTTAAATCTAAATGCAGATTAGTTGAATTTATCCAAGAAATTAATATACATTGCATAAGGAATAAGGAATGCATTAGCATCTGAATTAACTAATTAAATTATAGATGTGCATGTGATGGAGGACATTACTATTCCCTCTGTAAAATCAGGATATACGTCCAACAATATTACTATATTATCTTTTGAAATATTAAATTTAATATTTTGAGAATTGTATTAAAAATTAAATAATATTTAATAGCAAGAATAATATAGACACTAAAAAAATAAATTATTTCGTAATTTTCTAAACTAAACTATTATTAAGTAATTATTTTTAGTCAAGCTAATAAACAAGTAAAATGAACGTACAAATTAAATACATAAATGATAAATAAATGTTTTTTGTAGGCACACACATGGGAGCGAGAATATTCTCACAAGTTCTAGGAAAGCACCTCTCAATTTGAAGCATATGCTATCACAAATAGTTTGCGGTGAATAAAACTAATACTTGTTAGGCCAATTTTTGGTTGTGTCATGTGTACTAGCTTCCACAACCTTTCTTTCTCACTCATGCTCAGAGTTTTTGCTATGTCATATTCCAACAAAAAGAATAATTGAATGTAGATCTACTAATAATTATGGCACATCACTTTCCATTCTATGTTGGTGTTTGGTGACTCATATTACCCTTAATACATGATGCCTAAGTTTTGTCTAACATAGGCAAATCAAGGAAGTGGAAGAGGAAGGGTGCCAATAAGAATTGAGCTTACTATGCTAAATGGACGGATTTAATTGAATTTGAATGAAATGTATTAAGGAGAATGTTGATGATGAAAAAGGGTCATATTTGTTTCTAAGCTCTCAGAATATAAGGTTTTATATAAAGTAGTTTTAAATATAGGAATAATACATAAATATGACCTTTAACTTGGCGCTAGTTCGCAATTATGACTTTTAATTTTGGATGTGTGCAAGTAGACACTGAAACTTATATAAAAGTGAACAAGCAGACACATGTGTCCTATATGACATGATACATGTAAGAGACAAATTTTTCATGTATGGTGTTATGGAGGACGAATGTGTCAATTTGTTCAACTTTATACAAGTTTAAGTGTCTACTTGTGCATATCTAAGGGTTATAGTTGCCAACTAACATCAAGTTAAGGATCACGTTTATGTATTATGCCTTAAATATATACCATAGTGTAATTAGTTTACAATAAATATAGTCATATCTTTGTTGACATAAAAATACTCCAAGTCATAGTAAGTATATATTGTTTATACATTATGATAATACTAAAATAAATAAAGGCATAATACATAAATATGCCCTTTAACTTGGTTTCGAATTATATTTATGCCCTTCAATTTTGGGTGTCCACAAGTAAACACTTAAACTTATATAAAGTTGAACAAAAAGACACACATGTCCTACATGTCATCCTACATGATATTTTTTGTCCTACATGGTGTCTTACGTGTATTGTGTCATGTAGGACTCATGTGTTTATTTATTTAAAAGTTAGATAGTTAAAGTGTCTGTTTGTGTATTATGAAAGTTGGAGGTCAAAATTAAAATTTAAAGTCAAATTTAGGGTCTAATATATGTATTATGCCATAAATAAATATAGCTTACCTAACATTTTTATGTAGTTAAAAGGTTGAATATATCTTAACTATATATGAAGTATATATTAACTATATACACGGACTATTTATCAAACTATTTTTAAAAAAAATATTTATTAGTCTATTTAAGAAGTAAATGATGAGAAATCATTAAAGAAATGATTGGTTAGGAAGAAAGAGGTGATTCCCAAAGCAAACGTAATTTTATTGCAAGTAATTTCTTTCTTTCTATTCAATTCCAATCAATTTAAAATTAGGCAACTTTCACATATAGTAAATAAAAAATTCATATTTGTATGCTATAGCAAAGTTTTCATAATTGCACTCCATATCAAACATAGAAACTGTATAATTCGTATACATATACAATTGAAGCAAATTGTATAAAACGAAGTGTATAAAACAAGAAAGAGAAAGACACTTGGGCAGAGAACTTTATAAAAATGAAGTATATAAAACGAATTGTATTATTATAAGTGTATAGAATGATTATATACAATTTGAATTTGTATAAAATGAGAAAGAGAGAAAGACAAAAGAGACTTGACAAGGAATATACAATTAAATCGAATTGTATAAAACGAGAAAGAGAGAAATTAGATAAAATTTGAATTTTTTTTTGTATAAAACGAGAAAGAGAAAAGACAAAAGAAGCTGGGTAGGGGAGTATTTTTATTGTATAATTATAAGTGTATAGAACGAAAATATATGTACTTGCATGTGTATATACAATTTCTCACGCTTTATACAAACAGAAACGCAATTTATATATTTCTCTTCTGTTTGTATAAGTGAGGAAGGCAAGGGTGGCAAGCGAGATTTTGGGAGAGTGGCGAGCGAGATCTGGAAGAGGGGAACAAAAATATATGTATTTATATAATTTTCTATGCTTTATACAATTAGAAATTTTTTTTATACACTTATGTTTGTATAAAAAGTGAGGAAGTGAGCGAGAGATTGAAGGAGAGTGGCGAGCGAGATATTTGGGAGAGAGGTCCCTGCCAATTTTTTGCAAACATTGGCTATGAAGCACAATTAAATCAAACCCTAACTACTGCATTTATTTTAGGTTATTAATTTGCTATTATATACAATTTTCCCTTTAAAATTTTCTCTAAATAGCCTCAAACATTAGATACAATTTTTTCTCTCAATATTTTTGAGTCTTTTGAATATAATCCGCTCAAAATAATTCATATTTATAATATGTCAAATTTCTAAATTACAATTTTTGTAACTTTAATGACTTATTGATCATAAAAGAAGAAAGAATGAAGAGGGAAAGCAACAAAGAGAAAAGGAAGGAGGAAGAGGAAGAATACGAGGGTATGCTCGAATAGCTAGTTCAACCATTTTTCTTGTATTATTTAATAGGAAAGCAAAATTTTAATTGAGATAAAAATATGTCCTTGTAGACACCAGG